TGTAAGTTATTTTGTTCTCTGTATGTGTCATAATTATTTAATAACTTATTACAAAACATTTTTATGATTTTATCAAATTATCTAATGTCATAGAGCTTTGCAGTTACAGTACTTAATATAATATGAAAAATTTAATCAAGAAATAAAATAATATTCTAGAAACTTAAGATTGATCCTTAAATACATTATTGTATCCAATCTCAACCAGTTATACATTTCTTTTTTTCATATATGCTAGCCAGTTTTTGTGAATCATAAGTTACAGATACAGTTATCCTGTATTTTAATGTAGTTTGTATGTATGTTTGCCAGTTACTTTGTTTACACCTACAGCCAATTTATTAATTTTACCTTTTTAAAAAAAATTACACAGCAAAACATGCACCATTAAACAGTTCTTAATGTGCAATTCAGTTATAGTGATTCTCTAAGTTGTACAACTATTTCTCTAGTCTTTCATCCCATATAGATTGTTCGTAAAAGAGCGTAATGCCGAAGGCAGGCATGTTTTTACGAGTTGAACCTTCTTTATTTTTTTATTTATTGAACTATGGCAAGTAGGTATTGTTGTTAAAGCCTAAAAAAATCAGAGTTTTTAAAATAAAAAGAACAAGAAAATATTTAATAAGGGAGATATAAGTAAATTCTAATTTAAACTACTTATGAAATGTAAAATCCCTATTAGTGGCACTACACCATGTTTAAAATTTAGGTTAACAATTATATACCTCAGTTAATCTCTACTTAATATGTATTTCCAATAGGTTCATTCCAGCCAACGAATGAAATGATGCTCAAGTTCTATAGCTTCTATAAGCAGGCAACTGAAGGACCATGTAAAATTTCAAGACCTGGATTCTGGGATCCTATTGGAAGATATAAATGGTAATTTTACATAGAGAGCTCTTAAATACTTTTTATTTTGGTAACATCATCATCTTTGTATGATTATTATTTATGTGGTTGTATACTGTTGTGTACTAAGTGTCTTAAGTCCTGAATATACCTTTTGTCCTTCAAGTACTCTGAACACAATTTCACACAGATAGAAGAATTTTGAGGGAGAAAACAAAACAATAAAGCCAACCAAACAGGATAGATAAAGATTTTTAAAACAGGAAAAAAGAATTTTTAGATAATCTTTCACTTTTAGGGAGTTTTATTTTATTCTTTTTAATGAAAAGAGCCAGCCCAAAGGCAGGTTAAGGAAGACAACTTACCTGATTCTTATTATGTGCCAATAAAATAATAAATTTTGTCAAATGACACTGTGTGCTTTGAACTTTTAATCAATAATTAACTGGTAGCATGACTAGGATAGCATTGATACTGGTGGTGTACAGAGGGCGCAGACTGTACTGGTGACATGTCAGAGTGGGTGGCTCCAAAATGACTATACAGTTTTTGTAGTGTTGCAACAGAAGTCTATTTTCTTTCATAAAAATAACTCTATAGTTATAACAAGAAAAGCATTTTTTGCAAACCCATACAGACAAGGCTAGCTAACTCTATGCTATTTTAATTTTTTTTAACCTTCTAAAGAGAAGATGACTCTCAACAAGATGAATTGACATAGTAACTGGAACAATGGCCTTGAGCATGTCAGAGATTGTGAGGATGTTGCAGAAGAGGGCAAAGTTCCTATCTGTTGTTTATTGGGTCACTGTGATTTGTACTCCCCTGAAAGGCACCTGAAAAGTGTGTCCTAGTCACAATTGTGTTTACTACCCCATTTCATGATGTTCCAAAACACATGATTTGGTCTGTACTAACTAAAAGCACCTTCTGTTTTCATTTCTCCTAGTGTTTTTAAAGTTATTGATTTTGTCAAATTTTCTGTTTCAGCTGTAACACTGTTGTAATTAGTATGTGTAAGCATAACATCAGTCACTTTTTTTTTTAGGGGAAAAATAATTAAAGAAAAAAGCAAGAGGGGGAAAAAAGGCTTTCTTTCACTCAGTAATGTTCTAACTAGTGATGTAATTAAAATTAGAACTTTCTCAAATGATTTTTTATTAGTGGTATTCATATACTCTAAGCAGTATTTAGTTCAAGCAATTTACTGCTATGCTTATTACACATTAGTCTATAATTGAAATTGATAATAAACATGACTAAGGATTCTATATGATCTGGTATGGAAGGAGTTCTCATATGAGGGTGAGGTCACATCATGAGTGACAGTAATCCTCATGATGTCACTGAGCCAAGGTACAAGAGGAATTCTTTTTTTTTTTTTGTTTTACTTTTTATTCATATGCTTGCTCAACTAGAAGAAAGTTGACAAGCATTTTTTTTCCTTTTTTTTTTAAATTTAGGTTGTTTATTTTTCATTTCATTGAACATCTACAGAGATTTTGGAATTCAATTCATTCATTGTTGCAC